CCAAGATGTCAAGGTCTAGAGTTTTGGCTCAGGGCTCCAACAAATTACTGATATTTGAATGTACTACATAGTTCTGTGGTTCTCTAGGGGTCTCATCAGATGTTTCTAAAACTGTATGGGGTTTGTCCCCATAGTTCTTCACATAGCCATTGTCCTCTGCACAGAGGCCTTTCCCTTCCAACCCCCCTTTTATTCAGAAATCTGCTCTTTGCCAGTTTGTGTCCCTTAAAATTCTTTATGCGTGCATAAAACTGTGGTATGACATTTGTTGTTATGCTACAGCATCCATCCACTGGGTTTGCCCTTACACAACTGGAGCAAATGAATTCTAGCTTGCAGATGTTTACTTTTATAGCCTTTCTTTTCCCTGACTTCCACTGTAGGCTGACAGACAGATAAATGTTAAAAAAAAAAAAAGAAATTCCTTGCTTGCTATGAATATCTCTCCCATACTTGCCAGGGAAGGTTAAAATTACACCCATTGTTCTGCTGGGTGGGTGAGCCTCTGACCTTATGCCACCCATTTCTAGGGCTTTTCCAAATTATGTGCTCGGTTATTTACTTTTAAAATTCTTTCTCTTTTAATGGCATATTCAAGATGTATTTGCCAAATTTTCCCAAACACTTTTGATTTTAATAGTTTCCTTTAGCAATTTTTCTTGACCTCCTAGTTCCTGCAGAAACATGAATTTGGAAAGTTCAGCAGATGAGTGTTAACCCCCAGTGTAGAAAACCCACCAGATTAGAGTCAGTTAAGTAATGAGATACTTCAGTGGTTTGCATGATTTAGGCTGTCTTCAGGCACTGAGAAAAATGTTAATAATGTGTAAGTATTGTGATGTTTGTGTTTCTTCTATTTTTATTTGCAGAAATTGAACTCACATGCAAACCTATCCTCTTTTTCTGTCAACATCCTCATTAAACTGCAGCTTCTATCCAATATTCAGTGTCTGTATGAATGTCTATGTACAAATCCTTGTATCCTTGATAATGATAAACTTCTGCTTGTAGTTCTTTTTCTTACTCTGCATCTTTCTGTGACATTGAAGAAGAAATACACAAAAGGGGGGGGAGGCGGGAAAGGAATTACTAAAAATCCCCAGTTCTAGCAAGAAGGATCACCCCCATCGCAGGAAGGATGTACCATCTTAGCCCTCCTCAAGGAGTCTAAAAGTGGTCAAGGCAGAGATTCTGTGAGCCTGAGATGACTTTTCGGGAATCGCCACATTTGTATTGTCTTTCCTTTTTCGTGTTCTTTCTCTCTCCACCGCCCCCCCAGCCCTTGCCATTCCCTTTAGCGCTTTTTTTTTTTCTTTCCTTGTCCTTATTCTTTCAGACCTGTCTTATTCCCCCATTCCTTTATTCATTCTCCTCTAAATTCCCTGTCTTGTCTTGTCTTTGCTTTGTGCAGGCGTTACCAGTAGTTGGTACCGCTGCAGCTGTGACTGACCACCAGAAAGCTGGCCGTGTTGTTGAGTAACTGCCCACAAAGGGCGTGATCCTGAGTGGGCCTGGGATTAATGTTGTTGCACTTAATTCTAGTCATTCATTTCCATAAGCAAATAAAAGCATTAGAGTGCAGTGCAGATATGGCTGCTATGCTCCCCAGTTACGGGCCAAAAGTTACTTTAAAATTTGCAAGTTCCCATGTTTTCTTGAATCCTCTCCTCACTGCAAGCCCTTGTGTCTGGATGATTTCCTGCACTGCGTGTTGCTGTCTCTACAGGTGAGCGTGACTTTTGCATGAGAACTAGATAAAGAGACCCAGGAGAAGATGCAGTTAAGTTGATCCTTAAGGCAGCAACCATTGCTGGCTCTGTAGTACGCCGCTTTTTCAGCAGTACGCATCCCAGAAGAGTACTGTGATGAACTTCAGAGCGGAGAATATAAACCTGTCACTTAAGATTGGTCCTGAAACACAGGAGGGCAAAAAGCATAAGAAGAATAAATAGTATAACTCCAAACCTTTCTTTTACATACTTAGAAGCGCATGCATGCACCTGGGATCTTCCTGCACTTAGTTTTTGCTGTTGTGAGGGGCTGTGTGTGAGTAATCTTTGTGCTTGTTGGTACTTTCATGAGTATTTTCACTTCATTTCCAAGTGAAGTCAGAGTCTGGCTCAGCATCATGAATGAGTGTGACACATCATAACCCTACAATTTCTGGGAGGCATCACTTGATAGATAGATTTAGTGGGTGGAGAAACTAAATTTGAAATCAGTGTTTTCCTACTCTGCGAATCAGCTTTTATACCCAAAACACTAAAAGAGGAACTCCCTCGAGCTGCTTTTCTCTTCCCCCTCCCATTTGTCTTGAAAGCTCACTTCCACTGTAAAAATGAAGATGACCCTTGAGGCCTGTTAAGTTTGGGATCTGATCCGTTATGGGAAGCTATTTTAGTATCTTTTTGCTTCAGAGACGTGGCCTCAAAAAGCTGATTCGACACACAAGGTTTTTCTGGGTGTGAAACCATCTTTCTGGCAGGGGGAGCAACGCTGTGATTGAGGTAACTTGCTGTTTAGGTCAGGAGCAAACCAATTTTCCTCTTACCCAAGCTCTGGCTGCTATAATCTCATAATAGGTGGAAGAGAGAATAGAAAGGACTGTTTAGAGTAGTGCTTTGAAAACAGCGTAAGGTTTAAAATTCATTTAATCAAGTGACCCTGACGTGGGCATTTGTATTTATATATATAATTGGGTGGTGTGGTTTGTATTTTTTTCCTGAGGGAGGTTATTTTTCTGAGCACCTTGGTAGCATGTCAAGGTTGAGCTAGCAGGCTAATAGACAAAGCTGGCTTCATGGAGCTTTTATGGGGAAACAGCCTTGAGTGTGTCACCTCTGATGCACTTTGCTTTTGCAGCAGCTGTTTCATTTATTCTAGGGTTTGCTTATTTTCTGGGACTGTATTTTCATGTTCATATCACTATGAAAGGGGAAAGAAAAGGAAGTGTTGAAATCAGGGGACTGCTTGAGTCGATAGGTGGAAGAATTTGCTGCTGCCTTTGGAGTCTCCTGCAATGTTTACTGGAAGGGTCGGTTGTTTCTTAACCTCTTTGTTTGGAAAAAATGTTGGGGAAAAGCTTTTATAGCTGCGTTCTGGAAAATATTTTCTGTGAGGATGCTTGGGTAACCATGCAGGGATGCCTGTGTGCAGCTTAGGCCCTGTAGAAAGTAAAAGCTGGAAAAATGAAACAGTTGAGGACCTAAATGAAATCTTCAAATTGCCCACCCTCCCCATCTGATAAAGGCAGGGACAGTTCAGCATGGTGCTTACTGCCGCACCGACCTGTCTGCTGTGGATCATCCTGTGCTTTGGTGAAGTAGTTTTTCAGTTTTGGTTTGCCCTTTGCCATTATTTCTCTGGACACAGGAGTGATGGGGAAGTGCTGACTGCAAACCCTTTTTTTTTTTTGTAAAGACACAAAGAATCTGTCAGGGTAGTAAGTGCACACTGGTTTAATGAAATAATGTTCTCAGAACATAGTAAATAGGAGTCAAATTGTTCTGTCAGATTTAAGGTTAAATTTTGCCACAAAAAGTTACTGAAAAGGAGGATCATTCTTTACCAGCGATGGATGCTTTCCAACCTGGCTTCCCCAGCTAGAGGTGGGCCTGACTCAGATCAGCCAGCGACTGCGTGCTCTGTGTTTGGAGGGTTCTCCTGGTGGTTTGCAGCAGAGGGGTTGCTATCTGTCACTCCCCTTCCAAATGAGGTGCAAATGCTGTAAAAGGAGTGGGTGTTCTGTGGGCCAGTAACGGCATTGCAGAAGATGGGTCTCCTGACGGGTGCTCTGGAGAGTACGGGTGTAAATTGTTCCAGCTCTGCTGGCTGTGGTGCGTTACAGCCATGGAGGCTTTTCACCCAGTGGTACCGGATGGTGAACACTGGTGCTGTGAAAGTTGTCAGGTAGTGGGATAAGGAGATAATACTGTTGTTCAGCTTGTTATTGAAACATGTCATACTGGCCGTGGAAAGTCACTCTGGCTGAGCGTTGCTTTTCTCTTAAGTTTCGTCTGCTGGGCAGCGCAGAGTTGAACATTGGCAAAGTGATTCACTGTGCCTGTAATAGTCATTTACTTCAGTGCAAGGTGTATAAAACATGCTGGTTCTGACCTCAGAGCATTTCATAAGGGTAAATGATCGTAAGTGGGTGTGAGGCAATATTTCACAGTTTTTCAAAGAGCATGATTTCCAGGAAGCTTAAAAGAAGCAGGTGTGCAGCCTTTGCTGAACTTTAGTGAGACCCAGTCACTTGGCTCCCATAAGCTGCTTTGGAAATCACAGCCAACATGTCTGAGCTCTCTAAAAATGCTGTCTTAAAATTCCACACGTAGGAAATCAGCATTTGCAATGCTGCAATAGAAATGTACTTTGAAAGTAGTTTCTTTTCAAGCTTTTTGACCTTTTTAATGCTTTTTTTTTTCCTTCCCTTCTTTGAAACTTCCGTTAAATCTGCCCCTAACCACCGAAGAGCCTCGCAATGACTGCGTAAAGGCGCCTGCCTGGGAAGGCTGTAAGGGAAGCATCTTTTTTATTGGAAGAATGTGAACTGGGAATTGAAAATTTCTAGGTTTAGTTCAGTTTGAATGTGCTCGCTGTTTGAGCCTGGTGTTACTCAGACTGATTTTCGGAGTGGATTGGTTTGTGCTTTTGGTCCCATTGAGTACTTGAAAAGTAGGAGACTAGAGTTTCCTTTCTTTAAGCATGGTATTACACCTACAGTGAATGATACCTGCAGATTATAAATTGAAACGGTAAAACTGGAACAGTCAGCTGAAGGGACAAAGTGCGCCTTTAAAAGCTAGTTCAGTGCAGACCCCAGGGTGGAAACCAGGCTGGAAAATCTGGCTCTGGTTTTGTCCCACGGTTGTTCTGACACACCTAAATATTACAAATGAACGTGTCATGGGAGGGGGAGTGGGTTTGGGAGGAATGCTTTGCATGCGTTCATCTGTAGCTGGGAACTCAAGTTGTTGCTCTGTTCTGAATTCTTGCAGGTGAAAGTGATGGTGAGGATTTGTCCCTCTCAAGGAGCACATGAAACATCTGAATCCATGTCCTTTCTAAAGGTAGACCCACGAAAAAAGCAAATCACGTTTTATGATCCAGCAGCAAGTGGGCCTTCCAATGCAGGTCATAGAAGAGGCGTTGTTGCTGTCCCAAAGATGTTTGCCTTTGATGCTGTTTTCCCCCAGGATGCTTCGCAGGTACTGGAGTCGCTTCTATAAACCTCCTGAGTCTTCTCATGGCCACTGCATTTGATTGCCTGAAGAGTTCTTTCTGTTTCTAGGGAATTTTAGTTGAATGAGTTGCCTTACTGCCTGGAAAAAAACATGGTAATTAATAGACAAGTGGGTAAATTCTTACATTTTCAGTTTAGTCAAGATGTAAAATTAAGGAAAAATATCTGGGGAGATGGATTTACCGACTAAATTATCTTCTTGCATTTTCGCTTGTTAGAGAAAGACACAGAGCCAATTTGAAATTCACTTTTCCGTCCGGTTAGGTTTTAACCCATTTGATGTCACTGAAATAAAGTCCTTCCCCACTGCTTTCAATGGGAAATGAACACGTGCTTAATGTTAAACTAAACGCTGTTGTTAGGAGAAGAGATACAGCTAACCCCGTGGGATTGCTACACTGAAACAGTTAGGGAGCTTTTATATTTTCCTTGCCTTTTCCAGTTTGTTTATACTGTGTTTTTGACTGATTATTTTATCTTGATGGTTGTGCCGATGATGGCACATGCCTTTCTTTTGGCCTCCACCGGGTGTATTTGTACAGTAGTAGCCCCAGACCTGAAATCTGGTACACAAGTGGGATGGCTGGTATTTGAGAGGATTGTGGGCTGCGGTATATTTGGTGAGGTCGTACTCATGAACATGTGAAATTTCCTTCTGGGAAAAATCTTTGGTTCAGAAAAAAAAATCCTAGAACTGCTTTAAAAAGAACAAACTCTGCGGTGTATGAAGAACTACTTCAAGTTTGAACTGCTGAAAAAAATTAGTGTGAAAAATATATCACAAAACGTCCAAGGTGAAAATGGTATATTAATGTTGAGAAAACATGACAAGATCTAGTTCAGAATCCCACCCTCAGAACTTCTCTTAAGATTTTGTTTAATTTTTTGGGTCCCAAACTAGAGACATGAAAATACCCATTAGGTCCAAGTTGGATCCAAACACTAAAGATGGAGAATAACCTCACCCACACATCAGTGCTTAAAGCAATGGCAAACACGTCAGGAGGCTGTTTTTAAGATCCCGCATAAGGTCAAACGGTATATTTGTGCAGAAATATGCAACAGTGATGTCAACATTAGTCCAGAACTGGAAGGGGCTTTTTCTCACTTGTCTTGCCAGCCCCGATGCTGCAAGGTGGCTGATCACAGCCCCCTTCTTCGCTGGTTTTGGCACCAGTCTTCAGGTTGTTGACTCCTGGTTTGGGCTAGGCTCTTTCAGGTCCTTGTGGTGGGCCTCTTGGGTGGCCTGTTTGTGGTGTTTCTGGGTGGCATTGGCCAGTGCAGCCACTTCTGTGCAGGCTTGAGGCAAACTTGCTGCCAGGCACCTGCAAACAGAGCCTTATCCTTTCACTATAGTTACATATTTACACCAGCCCTCTCCCCTGCCCCCAGTTGGCTTAATAGATCATCATATTGTATATTTGAAACTCTCACTGACGTGGATAAACTGGTTTTAGTACACTCAAATATTTTAGCAAGTTCTCTTCATTGATGATGATGTTTCCCCTGGAAGAGGAAAATGTGACACTCTGAATCAGGGATCCTAATGCATTTTCTACAGTATGAATGTCTTTTTAATTCCTGTGAGCACTCCTGAGTAGCTTAATTTCGGTGGAGTTGCCACTATTGCTGAATAGCCTTGGCTAAGCTATTATACCAGCAGGAAGCCTGGTTGGAAAGCATTCAGTTTGCTACATTAGTCATAGAATCAATATTCCAAGAGAATTGGTTTAATAGAATTGAAAACTATTTTAGGCTGTAGTAGCATATTTTATTATTTTTTAAGATAGCATAGTTACTAAAATAATAGGACTGATGCCATAAAAATGGTGAGAATATTACACCTCAAAAATATTGAGTCATTCATTTCATTACAGAAGAATAGTAAAAACCATAGCAGTATATGCTCTTTTACTTATCTGTCTCCAATCTTTCTTTCAGGCTGAGGTATGCTCTGGAACAGTAGCAGAAGTAATCCAGTCTGTTGTGAATGGTGCAGATGGTTGCATATTTTGCTTCGGTCATGTCAAGCTTGGTGAGCTCCCAAATTCGTTACAGTTAATTACTATGTCAGTCTGGTAATTACATGCTGTCAGCTCCTGGAACAATAAACCTGGAGTATATGAATAGATTAGAATTTCTTTTTAATTAGCTTTGCAAACTTATCATGGTTTATTTCTACACTGGGATTGTAAGTTTTAATTTGAAAAGGTAAAGTGTAACATCAGATTAGCTTATTCAAGAGCAAGTTTATATAGGCGCATTGTGATGAAGATCAAAAGATCAGAGATGTTTTTAATGTTAATTTGCTGTGAGTTACAAAAATTGCAAAACTAATTGAATAAATAGTAATGGATTAATAATTAAGTACTTTACATTTTTGCATCTCTTCTTTCCTACTATCTGTGCGGCACATAGTATTGTATATAATATAGGGTGATGATATAAAGAGACACTGTCTTGTACAAGAAAGGTGAATTAAGTTCATGTTTTCTTTTCATTCTAGGAAAATCTTTTACGATGATTGGGAAAGATAATTCCACACAAAGCCTTGGTATCATCCCCTGTGCGATTTCTTGGCTCTTCAAATTAATCAATGAACGTAAAGAAAAAACTGGGACTCGTTTCTCCATTAGAGTATCTGCTGTGGAGATCAGTGGCAAAGATGAAAACCTTAAGGATTTGTTAGCTGAAGTAGCCACTGGCAGCCTTCAGGATGGCCAGTCTCCCGGGGTTTATCTGAGAGAAGATCCGATATGTGGAACCCAGGTATAATGGATATCACAAATAGATTTTTCTGAGCCTGATGTTCTTCTGCTTTTTATTTCCTTTTATCTGACAACAATTATGACAACTTTTAAGACAGTAAAAAAAAAAGTTACTGCTTTTAATTTATAAGCCCTTCTCCCATGGTGTACATATTTGTTTCTTTTAGTACCCTAGAGATTTAGCCAGTTCACTAAAAAATAATAAAAAAAATGCCCCTGTGCTAATTAGTCATTTTCTTGTTTATATTCAAGCTTCAAAACCAAAGTGAGCTAAGGGCTCCGACAGCAGAGAAAGCTGCCTTTTTCCTTGATGCTGCAATTGCTGCCAGAAGTACCAGCAAGCCTGAATGTGAGGAAGAAGATAGGAGGAATTCGCATATGCTCTTTACTCTTCACATCTACCAGTATCGCATGGAGAAGAGTGGCAAAGGAGGAAGTATGAATCTTCTTACCGTACTGTTTATTTTTAAATGACATGGTTTTGGGTTAGTTGAAACAATAATTTGTAATGAACTTATAAAGAAAAAATGAACTGAACCCTCAAGCCAGTCGAGTCACCTTTAACTTCAGTAGCTGTGGCTAATACCTGGTTTCCTTACTATTAATATTTAATCTGGTCATCATCCCATGCTGTATTCATTATTTTCCTCATTTGAATACATTTTGAATACCAAGCTTGGCTTGAGTCCCTGCAAGAACGTGATGTACAACTGTTTTTCCCCTTTTTGTTTTAGTGTCTGGAGGACGCAGCCGTTTGCATCTCATTGATCTAGGGAGCTGTGAAAAAGTGCTGAGCAAGAGCCGAGATGGAGGAGGCTCTCTGTGTCTGTCTCTCTCTGCCCTGGGCAATGTAATTTTGGCCTTAATTAATGGTGCTAAGCATGTGCCATATAAGTAAGTGAGTTATTGTCTGCATTATCTTAAATTTGTGATTGGCGTTACCTTAGCAAAGAATTGCATCAACAATTTACTCTTTACCTAAGATGAAGTTAAAGGAAGTTCTGTCAGAGAGGGGTCTGTCTTCTTTTAAGGTCACTTCCGTATTACAGATACATATTATCTATTCATCTCCCTGTCTATATGTACAAATACATATGCAAAACTTTTTAAATTCCACATAGTAACATGAAATTCTTAATTATATGGCCAAAAATTATATGCATGTGGGTATATACTTAAGTTGGGTGAAATGTTGGGGAGGGTTTGACTGTTGAAAAAAGCAGGGGAAAGCGACGAAAATGTTTTCTTTCCTTCTATCTCCTCTTTGTTTCCTGAGTTTGGAATCTAGACCAATCTCAGCCAGCTGGACATTAGTGAACAATTTAATCAAAAGTTCGTAGGATTTTGTCTCCTTTTTCCAAATTTAAAAATTGTATTGAAATTTCAGAAAATACTAGAGAGTTTATCAAGTGTGGTCATCAAAAGTTGTTATTTCTGCTTGCCTTTTTGAATGATACATCTTTTCAATTAAAAAAAAGAAGACCACCATGTTGCACATTTGTTTAGCAGAAATGAACATTTAGGTGTGCTCCTTTGTGGAGTGTGCTTGACAATAATATTATGTGAAACACACCTGTGGCAAGCCCAGCTTAAAGACAACAGCCACATTGTAAACACCCTTACCAGAACTTGGCCTTCAGTCCTTAAATTTAATTGCTGCTTGTCGTCATGCATTATAACTTTGTGCCATTGTTATCAATCATGTCACTTCACATATTTATCTAGTGCTGCATCTCAAACAGGTGTTCTTTCTTTCTGTATTAGGCAGAAAGATAATTTCCTCAGGCTAGTTGCTAGGTTTGTGGATGGAGTAGAGGATGGATTTGTTAGAATAGGGAAAGGCAGATCCTCAGCTTTGTCACCTGCCATGGTTTAGTGAGCAGACATGACGATAGTTCCCACATGTTGGGCCAGCTCAAGGGGTGATAGGAAGCAGCCTCCAGGGAGCCCTGGGGACAGATGTCTTGGAGATGAGTGGAGGACAAAATGTAACGTGTGTGGTCAGCTTTGCTGTCCATGGCGGAGGACTCTCATCACCAGGAGAGACTTCAGAGAGAAATTCTGCTTCCCATTTGCTATGTCAGAGCAGAGCACAGCAGGCAGAATGGAAACTAGATTAGCTGGGGTGGCATTGATAATACATTTCTGATACCTAACATTGTTATATTTGTTTAGAGATTTCTTACCGTTTTTGTTGACTTATTTTTTCCTATTATCATAATTGTTTGTTTAGAGCTCACAGAGCTTAGCTGTCCAGGTACTAAGTCTAGTCAGCTAAAAATACAGCACTCATGACCTTTTTGAGTAATATGAGCTAAACCTGAGACAACTAAACTAGTTATCAATAAATTGTTTTACAGTTGTCTAAATAACAAACAAAGCGACTTATCATACTGCAAATACACAGGCAGATAAATAATTAAAATATTGGTATATTTGTATGTGTACATTTAGACATATTTTAAGTGTGGTCAAATAATAGTAGCATATTTCTTATCTACATGTACCATACATGCATATATCCTATGAGAGTGAAGGCACATCTTGTGGTCTAAAAATCTGCAAAAAAAGATTGTGATTTCTTTAAACCATCCTAGTGTTCTCATTTGTCACACAGGGACAACAAGTTGACGATGCTTTTGAGGGAATCACTTGGCAACATCAACTGCAGAACTACTATGATTGCACATATTTCTGACTCCCCAGCCAATTACGCAGAAACTCTTACCACCATTCAGCTTGCATCGCGAATCCACCGAATGAGAAAGAAGAAATCCAAGGTTGGTTCACAAACAAGCAGATATTAATTCATTTGAAAATGAGTTTTCCTAACCTCTCAGTGGGGGAGCATGGGATTTCTCAGCAGTAAGAAGTAATACAAAATGCATAACAGCTCAGGAGAGGAACTGACAAATGACTTGGCACTGAGCCATTATCCCACCCCCAATCCTTAATCCTGAAATTCCCTTCTTTTCGTTCCAAACATGTATTCTTTCTTTGCTTATGTGTGGAACTATCTCAGAATTTCCTATTTCTATTAATTAAAAAAAGTATAAGGAAGGAACAGAAAACTGTTGAGGAGAAAGACAATGCATAATATTTAATGGAAAATATCTGGAAAGGTGTGACTGCTATATGACTCCTAAAACAGTAAAATGTGTGTAGCATGACCTTGTTATTTAATTCACACTCTAACCTTTTTCCACTAGATGTAGTTGTGATAGTATACACAAACCACAGAGTATATGGCAAACTTGACCTTTTAATCAATTATATGTACATGTATATACTCTTATATATCAATTAATATTAATAACTTTTCCATTATTGATCATTTGCAGTATGCATCCAGCTCGTCTGGAGGAGAGAGTTCATGTGAAGAAGGACATGTCCGAAGACCACCCCATTTGCGACCATTCCACCCACGAACTGTTGCCCTTGACCCTGACCTTCCTGTCCTGAGTATATCTAGTGATCCTGATTATTCCTCCAGCAGCGAACAGTCTTGTGATACTGTCATCTATGTTGGTCCCAATGGTGCAGCTTTGTCTGACAGGGAATTGACAGATAATGAAGGTCCTCCAGAGTTTGTTCCCATAATCCCATCCCTAAACAAGAAGAGAAGTAAAGACAATTCTGCTATTGGTAGGAGTTCTGACAAGGACCATTTTAAATGCAACACTTTTGCTGAACTGCAAGAAAGGTTAGAGTGCATTGATGGAAGTGAGGAACCCATCAAATTGGCTTGTGGAGAAATCTCTCTTGTGTCCAATTGTAGTCCAGTCCCTGGAGCTACAGAAAATGCACAGTCTAAGCTGATAAAGGAAAAAATATCTTCTCCTTCTGGAGGATTTAAGAAACCAGTTCCACAAGGTACTGTGTCTCCCAAAAAAGGGCATAACCTTCCTTTCCAAGCTGTTGCACCAAGGGGTAGCAATGGCAATTTTCATGAAAAGAGCACACCTCACTTGAAAACAGAGCTCTCCAAGCCACAGAGCAGAGCTGAAGACAAAATAATAGACTTGATACTGGAGTTGGAGGGAGAGAGAGAGACAATCACCGATTCCCTGCAATCTTCAAGGTGTAGCCCTTCAAGGAATCCAGAGCAGAATAAGGCCACAGCTGAATGTGTGATTAAGGAAAAGTCCTTGTATGTGAAGAGACCCTTGCCAAGCCCAGCACCTCCACCTCCACAGCAGAAAGAGCATGTACTGAGCTCCAAAGCTGAGAATTTGGAGCTCGACAATAGCAATGCAGTTCGGACTCCTCCTGTGGGAATGAGCAAGCAGATGGGAAACAAACCTGAGCAAAACCCTGTAGGAAGCACATTCCTAGTTGGTAGCAACACCCAGAATCAGTCAGGTGCAATAGAGGTACACAGCTTCAGGTCAGCGTTCAGAGGGAAATGTTTTGATCGGGATATACTAACCACCACGGTGACTTTGCAGCAACCTGTTGAGCTGAATGGAGAGGATGAGCTTGTTTTCACCGTGGTGGAAGAACTATCCATTAGTGGCATTATGGATAATGGAAGACCTTCCAGTATCATTAGCTTTAACAGCGACTGCTCCCTTCAGGCCCTTGCATCAGGTTCGAGGCCGGTCAGTATTATTAGCAGCATAAATGATGAGTTTGATGCTTATACCTCACAGGAGACTTCTACTGGTGTAAATATTGATATTGTTGTGCCCTTTGCTAAGGATCCCTTTACCAGCAGCAGACGTTCCTCCATCAGTTCGTGGCTTAGTGAAGTCAGCATCTGTACAATCGAAAGTGATGGAGCCCAGTCTAGTGACAGTTTTGTCGCACAGTCATCTTACAGCTGTAGTAAGTCCGAGGAGCCCTTCAACTTGGATTCATCCCATTTATCCGTCCCCCTGAAAAGCGCTCTGAATGACAGTGGATTTTGCTTCTCTGAACTGGAGAGTGAGAGCCTGAGTTCCAGCAAGCTGTCGTCAGGCATCAGCAGAAGCCCTCAAACCTCTGAAACTACCAAAGCAGCTCAGATAAAAAGTGCTTTTTGTGTCACTGATCAGCCTGTAAAAATAAAATTTAGTAACTCTTGTGAGACGCCTGTGATAGAAACAATACATTCTAGTCTTCCTAGGAAAACAAAAACTACCTCGTCTCCAATCCACAATAATACTGTCCTCAGCTATAAAGAGCTGCAGAACCCACATGGTATATTTGAAGATCCCTGGTTGTTGCGCACCGATTATCAGCTGGAAGCAAAACCTGCAGACTCGCTGCTGTCTCCAAAATCTCACACATTTGGTACTGAGAAGCAGCCAGGAAAACCTGCCCAGTATTTTGGTGCAGCATCCAGGCCAACGAAGTCGCAGACTATGCTCGCCTGTTCGCAGAGGGTTGTGGATGGTTGTGAAATGGCCTGCAAATCCTCAAGCGGAGCTGCAAAGAAGTCAGAAGTTGTGATGAAGATGCCACAGCTGAAGAGAGGAGCCACCACGCTGGGAGTGATGCCAGTGTCACATGCTAACAGTACTTTGTCGGAGGCTGTGACCCGAGGGAATTCAGATGCTTCTTTGGCCACTGGCAGCTTGAAATCATCACTGGGAAAGAAGAGTGCACCACAGAAATCGACCATGTTGCCCAGGCCAGGTGGGCCGACACCTCCAACACCTCCTGTACGCAAATCGAGCCTGGAGCAGAAACCTGTTGGTCTGGGTAATGGTGGGGGAAAAGCCTCCGGCTTGGACTTTGCCAGAGCTGCCACGCCAAAGGCCGAAGACGAAACAGATTTCCGGTTGAAAGCTGGGTCTTACTTTAGTGAAAGTGCCACCAGCAAAATGAACCTGAAAGGCGACCACTCTTTGCCCAAGATGACGTCCAGCTTAAAGGTGAAGGCATCGAAGAGTGAAGCCGTGCACCGTTACGGGAGCCACATGTCCCTGGAGAGGTGTGACAGCCTGACGTCAGTCGGATCCAAAGCAAGTGTGGCGAGGGAGAATGGGAGCACCAGCAACAGCCGGGCAGGGCGCTCCGTCCCCAGGCTGGGGGTCCCCCCTGTTGCCTCTGGTGTGGGTTTACCACCGCCCTTCACTACCCCTGTGCCCAGTAAAAACAGCCAGGCAAAACCCACAGCTAACCAGAAGGTGCAAGCTAACGGGAACAAAAACCGGGGCCTCTCCACCAGCGGGTCGAAGTCTCTCAGTTCCTCTGTGAAGTCCTTGGCACAGCCTGCGGTGAAGGGCTCTGGCATGGCCCCCAGCGGGAAGGTGGCCCCCCGCTCCATGCAGCCTGTCAGTGGCAAACCTGGCCGAGGGACCATCATGGGGACCAAGCAGGCCATGAGGGCAGCCAACAGCCGTGTGAACGAGCTGGTGTCAGGTGGCTCTGCCAAGACGGGCCACTTCCGAGGCTCCACTGACTCCGACAGTGGCAACGACAGCGGCATTAACCTCAGTGATGAGAAGTCGCAAATCCCGGTGCTGCCATCTCCATACAGTAAGATAACGGCGCCGCGGCGGCCTCAGCGGTACAGCAGCGGGCATGGCAGCGACAACAGCAGCGTCCTAAGCGGGGAGCTGCCACCAGCCATGGGGAGGACGGCTCTGTTTTATCACAGCGGCGGCAGCAGCGGCTATGAGAGCATGATTCGGGACAGCGAGGCCACTGGCAGTGCCTCCTCAGCACACGACTCTATGAGCGAAAGCGGGATGTCATCGCCAGGCCGGATGAGGAGCCTCAAGTCCCCCAAGAAACGATCAACAGGTAAGAAGTGAAGGGGAAGGTGGCCAGGTCTCCCCTGGCACTCCACTGCGTCCCTGAGGATGGGGGATTTTCATGGCGTCCCTGACAGTGAGGGAGAGGAGATTTGGGGGGAACTCAAAGCGGGGTGGTGGACTGTCTGCATGCGCTTGCGTGTGCATGCATATCGCTGTGACAGCAGCTACTTGCCATTTATTTCACTTCAAAGCTGCAGGTGTGACACAGGTGCTGCTGTGGAGAGGGCAGGGGAGGCGCTGGGTGCCCCGGGGCGCCGGCAGGCCCCCCGCGAGGGGGGGGGGCGGCGAA